AATATTTTGAAAAATCTTAATTATTTTTAAGAACAGAGAAAGACTTTATAATATAACACTAGTTGAAAGGAATGTAAGGAACTCTCTCTCCTGGTCAAAGGCAGAATCAGTTATTTTCTTGAGACCAGGCCTTTATCCAGTCAGGTTTTGAAAACTTCCAAGAATGGAGGCTTTTGGAGCACAACCTTTCTGTACAGTGTTTTCCTAAGTTTCACTCTCTTTGTGGTAAACCGACTTTTATTTACATCCAACAGTTGAAATCTCTCAGTTCAGCTTCTGCCCACTGCCTCTCATCATCTCAAAACCAGGGGTTTCTGTTTTCCCCTGCAGCTGCTGCAGGGCTGCCCTGTTGTGTCCCTGAAACCCTGACTTCTGCAGGCTACACAAGCTCCTTCCCTCAGTCCCTCCTCGTAGGCCTTGTGCTGGTGCCCTGGGGTTTGATCATTTGCACAATCCCTTGTTTGTCTGGAGCCCTCCCCTAGAGACCGAGCACGATGCAGTAGAACAGAGGGCTCATTGTCATCTGGAGAGCTTTGTGGTTTTTAATTTGGGTATCCCCGTGCCCCCTGCCCTAAACTTTTTTTACTGTTTTATGTCAGTGAAATTATTCCGTGTACTTTTGGGTATTGCACCTTCTGGTTCTAAGACCTCTTTATTGTGCCTGTGCTGCACTGGAGGTGCATGTATTGGAGTTTGTTGAAGAAATGCCAGACCAATGAAGGGGCACTTAACATGGAATGTATGATATTGAATATGTTGAATATACAGTAACAATACAGGTACTGATGTTGCTTCCACAGAGGCCTTTTGCTTCTCAAGAGGATCAGTCCAAAAGCAGTCATTATTAAGGGAGTATAGAACAGAGTGATGAGTAGAAAAACAAACTTCAGGCACCAGGCACCCTCTCTAGGCATCCTGTTTGATGGTGCTCTAGTGGAGAAGTTTTTCCTAACGTCCAGTCTGAACATCCCAGTGTGTAACTTGCAGCCATTGTCACTTCCTTCCCCTGAAGGACTTGCAGGATGGTGTGGATATTGAGTACGTGTTCCATAGGGCTACTTTTTTTTTTCTTAAATGCAGTTGTAGGTATGAAGACCTGAAGACAGTGTGAGAAGTGGGATATTCCAGGATAATCAGAGCTTTCTGTCTTGAAATTTCAGAACTCAGCAGTTGAGAAGGTCAATGAGGAAAGGCAGTGGCTGTTTGTGCAATACTACTAATTTAGGCTCTGAGTGCTTGACACACAGCTGTTTGGTAAGCTCAGAATTAGAACTATTTGGAAGAGGATGGCTGTTAGAGGCTGCTGTGTAATCAGAAGTCGAGGACTGGTGTGAAGATGATGGTTGCAGGAGAGGCCATGCATGTTGTAATTGGTTCCCTCTGCAGAAGGCAGTGCTGCTGAAAAGAGCTGGATTGGGTGGGAACACTGCTGTGTTTTAACTGCTTCTGCTGCTGCCAGCTGTAATTGTTAGGCACGTCTGGCTTGTAACTAAAAATGTGGAGATATTTGGAGTGTGGAACCCAGGTTTGATCGTTATGGAAGTGACTATAAATTTGGGGTTGCAGCCAATTTCAGGGGAAGTCTGCAATGTGTTGCATCCAAAAGGAATAATGTCCTTAAAGTCTTCCTTGTGTACTTGTGTTTGGATTTTCTAATAGTTTTGAGCATTTGTATTGCATATTCTGTCATATTTCAACTTTCTGGACCTTTTTTTTCAACTGCATCTAGCTCTGCAGTTTCTGGTGTAGCACAGATGTTGTTTTCCAAACTATTTTTGAGGTAGTTTATTTTTTCAGTCAGTCATCCACACAAAGCTGTTTAAGTCTCTCCTGTGAATTACTTCATTGATACAAGAATCTCTGTGGTATAGAAACATTTGAGCTATTTTATTAGTTGTGCAAAAAGATGTGTGCTGGTGCTGCTAATTCATATCCCTCTTGAATCCTGGTAACCATAGCACACAGTTATCTGTTTTTCTGCCTGCAGTGACTACACCAACAGTAGTGGTTGTCTCTTCTTCACAGCAGCTCCACTTGTTGTCCTTGAAAGGTGAGATTTCCAAAGCATGCAAGCTAATATTCAGTAACAAACACCATGATTTCCTTTCTTTCAGTAGGAGTTGAAAAGTGAATATATTGTTCTTCCCAGGTATTTTATCTTAAAATAGGTTTTATCAGTTCCTTCTAGCCTGTGTCTTGTACACTTCATAAAACACTTTAATTAAAAAGCATTATTTGTGGTATTTCCTTTGTCCCTGTCCAGTGGGAGTTATTGGGATGAATGTTTCCAGAAGGCTTCATTTTGCACTGATTGCTGGGTGGTTCCCTTCCTACATCCTGTAGAGTGTGAAGCCTCGTCTCCGGAATGTCTGTCTGGTCCAATAAAATGTTTGGGGAATGTGTTTCTGTGCAATCACGTGGGGTATAAATCCCCTGTAATTGCATGTTGGATGCTGTGCTCTGGCAGGATTATAAACACGTGCAGGCGTTTGCATACTGGAAGTTTCATCTTGAAGACAGGAGCAAATCCATGTCAAGAATTTTTAATTTCTCTTCTCCTCCATGTTGTTTCTGCATCAAGGCAGATGCTTTTGGCTTCTCTTAAAGGACAGGCTTGAACATGTCTCAAATTTCTAGATGGATGCTGGGCAGCTGTACTGAGAAAGAAGTTAGGTTGCTGTGATTGCAACATCTTAGGCCTTGGGCTGTATTGAAAAATAATGTCTCCTCTGCCATAAAGCAGAAGCCTCCTTTTTACTGTCCTGATGTAAAAAATTGTTGAAACTTAATTTTTTTTTTTTTTTAAAGCACTGGCAGCAGAAAGATGTGAGAGTAGCGGTGCTGAACAGTCAGTCTGTAGCTAAGAAAGAGATGATGTTAAGTTCCAAAATACCTATTTAAGTTTTGAAAGAATAATTAGTATTTATTTTTAACTGCTGTAACTTATTTTCATATTTATGTTGTGTACCTCAGTGCCATTATCTTGCATTTTTGTGCTCTGGGCACTTTGTCTTTTAGTCCAGCTACCTCACTGGCACTAAGAAACCAACAGGGAGTGAGCTGGAAGGACAAGGCAGTTTCCTTTCCTTTTGTATAAAGTTTAGGTACTCTGTAAGATACTTGAGTAAATATTTAATTTGTAAACTGATTGTCCTGGTTTTTTTAAGTGTAGGTGAATATACGGATTTCTAGTGCTGTTTATTTTCTTGATTTTCTAATCTTAAATATTACTGCTTGTTTTACAAGTTGCATTTTTTAACAATGGCTATTCAAAATCTTTTCCTTCATAGGAAATTGTAGCAAACAGCCCTGGAAAGAACTGCAGGAGGTCTTTCTCTGGGCCTTTAGAAATCATATTTTTAACATCATTTTATACCAGCATCTGTCAGAAGTACTGTATACAGTCTAAACATGGAAACTTGGCCAATCTATCCTAGTGCTTAATTATTCTTCTCTGTAGACAGATTTTTCCTGATGTCTGCTGTAAATCACTTTGACCACAATCAAGTCCATTGCAAGCTTTTCTGGTCCTCACCTTCTCTTATTTTAATTTTTTTTTCCTCCCCTGAACATGTGTTATGGATTTTAGATTAGTTGATAAGCTTCTTTCAGTCTCATTTTCCTCTGATTTGGGATTTTTAAATCTTTGTAGTGGAGGATTTTTTTAGCATATGATCACTGCTGCTTCTGAAGATGCTATAACTTGTGCATATGTTTCTTGGACTGTGGTACTCCAGACTGGATTTCTTTGGAGGTTCTGTCTGTATGAGGGGAGTAGAAAAACGTGGTTTGCAGTTGTGCTCTAGTTCATGCTTTTCAGTGCAAAGACGTTGGGGGTTCAGTATTGTGGTGCCAATTCAGATCAGCTTGGTGTTCACTGTAACTTGTTAACACCATTGTGTGCCCTTGGAAGTTCTTTGTTCCCTTCCCAAGATTCAAATATCTGTGTATTTGCCATACACTTGGAAGTCTTGTTGCTGTTGCTGTGAAATCTGTAAAAATGTAGTTCTATGTCAGTTCTGATGGAGATGTGAAACCATCTTATGTGACTTTTCCTCCTTGCTGCTCGTTCACATAGGCATCCTGCAGTGAGGATGCCTCTGCTTCAAACTGCACTTAAGAGGCATTTTTTGCCCTGTTGTGCTCACACAGTCTGTGCTTATCCTCCCCCACCTTGCCTTGCACATGAGGTGAGAAGAAGAGTAGTGCATCCAGCTTCTGAATTTCTGTGCTATAAAGGTGATTAGCTACACACTGTGAGGGTGGTGTCACCTCAAGTTTTAGGGCTGGTGCTGAAGCTTCTCAGTGACCCTCTGTGAATGGGTCTGGAATCTTCGTCTCAGGACAAGCCTGAGGGACTCTCTGCGTGACCTCCCTGTTTCTGCTGTTGCTGTGCTCAGTCTGCAGTGTGATGGCCCGTCTTCCAGCATGGGATGATGGGTTTTTCAGAGGATATCAGATACCTTGAGCCATTTGCAGATGGGATGTATCCCTCAATTTGCTTTTTGAAGAACCTTCTAAAAAAATATTTGGATTTCTCTGGTGTGTGGCTGTTGGACAGTATGCTACTTTTAAAATCTGAAACCCTGTTTTGGCTTTACAGATATGAACCAGAAAATATTACCGTGGTGTTGACTGACTCTCATCTTCCTTAAAGGATAGTCTTTGAATTTTATTATTTCTTTTTTTTAATTTTTAAATTATTTTTAAGGGTAAAATCATATGTTATTTTCCAATCATGGAAGAAGGTCTTGGGACAATAAACAGTTTGACATCCCAGCCAACCCAAAACATGGCTCCGTAATGGGAAGAAATCAACACACTTGGAACATCTTTACAGGAAGTGAATTAATGAATTCATTCATTAACACACTAGGTAGATGTTTTTGAGTGTTCCCGATGGCCAGGGCTGGATGTCACCTTGTGCAATGCTGCTTTGGAACAGCAGAGGGTACTGTTGGTGCAAGATAAAAAAAGTTTTTTCACACAGAGCTGCTAGAAAAAAAGCTTTTTTTTTTCCCCTCCTGATATATTGTTCATTGGAACTGTTGACATGTTATTACATAGTCATCTTTGGATCACTGCCTCGTCTTCATAGCATCCATTTATGGATTTTCTAAGTAGTTTTGTGGACAATTCCCCAATTAAGTATGAATGTTTTCTCGTTATTTTTGCTGTCACAAAAAGTGCTTCAAAGATGTGTCTTCTGATACGGCTTGTTTTTCCTTCAGTGTTGTGCAGATTGTTCCTTCTTTGTTCTAGATTGAGGAGTTGATTGTGCTGGAGCTTTCCAGAGAGTTTTTCTTCTGGAGATAAAGTATAAAAAAGAACAGTAGAGGTTTGGAGACGAAGTTGCAGTTATTCCCTCTCTTGTGTTGGACAGCCCTAATCTCTCCTCCTGTGTTTTATTTACCACATTCTTGTGTAGTCTCTGGCTGCTGTTCACTAGAGTTGGGTTTTATTAGAATGTCAACAGGTGGGCTGTTATTTAAGACCCGCTTTTAAGGAATGTTACCACTTTGCCAGAGATCATTTCGGTTCTGTGGAAAGGACCTGAGCTTTCCAAATCTTAAGTTTCCTGCAGTATAGTTACATAGTATGTTGATTTTTGTGGCAAACCTGCTCTAAGTGACTACATGGTAACGTTTTTAAGGACTATTTTTGTGCTTCAACCAAACCCCTTGTTTTTACCACTTACCTTGATCCACCTGTTTCTGTTCACCTGGTGGTGTGGCAAACAATGCTAGCCTGCTCCAAACCAGCAGAAGACCAAAATGGAAAAGCATTTTGCCAGTTTGACCGTTCAGCCAGAGGAGTTCTTGTGATGGCTCAAAGAAAGGGACGTGGGAGAAGGGGCTGAGGGGCTGTTTGGGGCCGTGGTGGGAAGCTGTGCCTTCTGTGACATCACTATTTTAATTTTCACTAGCAGAATGCAGGGCATTAATAATCCACCTGCTTGAAATCTTCTTATGGGGGAAACTCAAAGGGGGGAGTTTGTGGGTGCAGGACACATCAGTCATGTTGAGTACATTGAAACAACTGTAGAGAAACTGCCCGGATCGTGCAAGCTAACTCAGGTAATTCCTGGCCAGAACACTCCAATTTGCACATTGTTGTATTTAGCTGGCTGCTCCTCTTGTGAAAGCCAGTAGTAAAAAACAGTTTATTATGGGTAATAGTCATGACCTCAGCAGGACCATTGAATTTTCACTCCTGGACTCAAATAGTTGTCATTAACAATATATTTCATTATCCTGGGAAGGAAAATCTTTGTAAGTGAACCTTAACCTTGTAGTTATTACATTTATCCTGTGCTCTACTCGGGATAAATTCAGTTTCTCACTTTGAAACACGTTAAGACTTGTTGCCTGGCATAGCCTTGCCAGCAGACTGGAAGGTTTGTCTTTTTTGCAGTTGACTCCTCTGCATTTAATTTGTTCTGAGTCAGTCTCAAGTGAGCGGCAGAACTTGCACTAAACCCCTGAAAGCAATGCTGATACAGAACAGGGGTGTTTCACAGTCACAAAATAGTTGAGACTCCGAGGCACCCTCATTGTGCTCTTGTGGTTCTTTCTTATGTTTGAACAGAATTTTTTGCTTTTCAGTTTGTTCCCGTTGCCTCTTGTCCTTTCACTGGGCACCTCACCTCTGAATCCATCTCTGCCGCCTTTAATCTTTCCCATCAGGTTACATTACCAAGATCCTCCTGAGCCTTCCCTGCTCAAGGCTGAACAATCCCAGTTCTCTCAGCCTCCCCTCACGGCAGATGCTCCAATCCTTTAATCATCTTAGCCCGTTGGACTCTCTCCAATGTGTCTCCCTTGCAGTGTGGAGCCCAGCAGTGGCCCCAGCCCTCCAGCAGTGACCCCCAGTGCAGAGCCGAGGGAAGGGCCCCCCAGTCCCCCTCCTCATGTAGCCCAGGGTGGTGTTGGCCACCTTTGCAACCAGGGCACATTGCTGGCTCAGTTCAGCAGCTCCACCCAGATTCCCAGGTCCTTCTCTGCAAAGCTGTTTTCCAGTAGGTTGGCACCCAGCCTGTAAGGCATAGTTATTCCTCCTCAGCAGCGGGACTTTGCATTTTTCTTTGCTGATCTTTATGAGATCTGTCTGCCCATTTCTCCAGGCCTTTTCCATATTTTTTTTTCTCAGCAGGAGGCCCATATTTTCCCTATCTTCTTTTTATTGCTAAATTACCTGTAGAAGTGCTTCTTGTTCCTCTTCACGTCCCTCTCCGTTTTCAACTCCAGGCAGGATTTGACCTTCCCAAGCCTGTCTTTGCACACTAGGGCAGTGTCTCTACATTTGTCCAGGCTCACCTGACCCTGCTCCCACCTCTTGTGTACATTCTTTTTATGTTTAAGTATTGTGCCTTTGTATGATTTTCTGCATGTTGGCTGTATGATTCTTGAGCTTGGAGGAGGTCATTCTTCAAAATCAGCAAACTCTCCTGGACCTGTCTTCTCCCAAGGCCCATATCCTGAGGGTTTCTGTGAAGCAGGAGCCTGAATTCTGCTCTCCTGAAGCCCAGACTTATGATCCTACAGTTTGCCTTGTTTCCTTTGCCTTGGTTGTGACTTAAGGCTTAGTTCCTTATTTACTGATTTACTGATATTTGTTCCTTTGTTCAGTTAGTCTCATGTACCAATACTGGCACTGATGCCATTAGTCTCTCTGATTCCAATTGCTGGACACAGGTTTACTTTAGAAAAAAAACTTCCATCTAGTTAGATGTCATTAAAGTTACTCCGTTGCTAGACCCTTTCCTATTCCCTTAATGGGGCTTATATTTGCACAGCCTGGCCACACCCTGGGTTTTTCTGAGATCATGGTGCATTTCTTCCCGGTAAAGCTGGCCTACCCTGTATGTATCCACAACAGAAAAACTGCACAACTAGCCTAGGAATTATGTAGGCTGTTCTGTTTGTTACAGCTCCAAAATGCATTCAGTATCCACATGGTCATTTATAAGTTTCATGTACCATGGGTATGGCCAGGGTACAGTAGGAATCTGGCAAGAGGTCCAGCTGCTTTTTCAGGAGTGGTTTTCTCATTGGATTTTATCCCATACCTTTCCTCAAGTTCTGCATCTTCTCCCCACACCCCATTATCTGTAGGCAGTGGCTGTACCTGATGATGTTAAAGGAGAGCGGATACAGTGCTCTTGAATGCTGTACTTCTGACAGATCCTAGTTAGCATCCAGGATTCCTGGTCATCACAGATGGTGAAATACTGGCAAAAATGCTTGCAAAGTGATTTTAGAAAGCTCTACTTGCTGTCAGTCACTACTGCCAAATTAGCTTAATTAAAACCAGCTGTGGGAGAGTGCTCTGCTGCAACTGATAACTCTTATTTCCTTCTCTGGAGTGTCACTGGGCCCGGGGCTGGTGATAACAAGCTGCCTGGATGCAGTGAGGATCTTAAGGTGGTTGCAGTTCTCTTCCATATGTGCAATTTTGAAGTTGGCCCTAAATCCTGCTTTTGGCTTGTGTTTTTCCATATGGAGTCCTTGGCCTTGAGATGCTGGGCTTTGTGTATCACCTTGAATAAGCACCTACAATGGTTAGTGTTGCCATTACTTGATTTGGTTCAGGAGAGTTGACAGGAATATTTATTTTAGTGTGGTTTAGAGGGAATGTCAAGGTTATTCTGCCTGAGAAAGGTCCTCTTTTATTAAAGTTTAAAAACCTCACAAAACCAAAAGAAGCTCTTCCCCTACAGCCAAACCCTGACTTTAAAAACCAGCAGCTTTAGGCCATTTGGAAACATAGAGTTTGCTTTCTCAGAGTGATCAGCAGGCCTTTGTGTTTTGTGAACTGCTGTCTCAGGCTTCTGCAATATTCTTCTTTTGTAGAATGCCCTGTTCATTGCTGTCTCCCTTCACTTAATCCTCTCCTCTCTTTCCCCTATCATCTGTTCAGCTGTGCAGGCAATTTCACAGTCAAACTTGGGGCCAAAAAGTTGCCAACATTGATGACTTGTCACAAACCAAGAAGAGGCCATTTTCCATTTCTGAACTGATCTCAGACCTGCCAACATCAAGCTGTTGGGTTTTTTTGCCAGTCAAATCAAGTTGTGTTGGATGAGGCAGCTGTTTTAGAATAAGGTTAATAAAATGACTGTTGCCTTTTATAAGGAGTTCTGCTAGTGGAGTAGTCCAAAATTTGTGAAACTCTAAAATTTGTGAATCCCAGTGAGCCTGTGAAATCCTGGCTGGGAGCACACTTCAGCAGGTGGCTGGAAATGCTAATAAGGAATGGAGTCTGTTGTGGAACGCTGTGGAAGTTTTGTATTTCTGAGATTACAGTGGATTTTCTTTGTGGAAACTGAATTAGAACGGGAGTTGCTCTTGGCATCTCTCAATTTCTGAAGTTTCAGCTTTTGGTGAAATAGAGTTGGCAGTTTCACAGGATCTTAATAAAAAAAAAATTGTTTTGGTGATGCTACCACTACTGGATGCTGGATTACTGTTTCTAAGCAAGCTGTTCCCCTGTCATGGTATTTTCATTGGAGTAGTCAGTTGATGTGGGTTGGTTTTTTCTTTCTGTTTTTGGGGTGGTTTCTTTGTTCAGTTTTGTTTTCTAGAGGCATTTTTGTTTGCTTGTTGCAAACATACAAGAGACTTTGTGGCTTCCCCAAACAGGGTCACCCCGTGTGTTTGGATGCAGTGTAGTTCTCTGCAGTTCTCTGGTAATTTACTGCCTATTCCAGTTTTGCACACAAGCTCTGTTTCACTGCTAGCTTCAGGCTGATGGTCAAAGATCGTTTAAATGCAATTTATCTGTGGACAGTAAATATTCTTGTAGCTGGAGGTGAGACTGGCACCTTTTTTTTGTCCTTTTGGTCCTTAGAGGAGTGGCAGCTTGGTTGTGCTTTTAGTTGCTGCTGACTTGGAAACTTCACTGTGAGTTATTTTTTTAAAGAAGGTTGGCTTGCTTTGTGAAACACTTCAGTGAGGTGCTCAGCAGTTTAATTCCATTGATCCTAGACTGGAACCAATGCTTCTTATTTAACCTTCTGGATGCCTTGGTATTATTTTAATTTTTTTTTTCCTCACTGGCTTTTTTCTCTGCCAAGTGCTGATTTAAAGGGATTCATTGTATTTTTGTATGTGGTGTGATAGGAGGAACACTTTTCCTTTAGATTGTCTCCAGCTGTATTTGTCCAGGGTCTGGGTGGTGTGGTGATCAACTTCCACTCCTGCAGCTGCTATTTCAATAAGTTTTTCATTGTCCTACAATTTCTGCACATGGAAATGAGGCACTACTGACAGGATTTAGTCCATCTCTGGGTTATTTTTCTTATGTTTTTATGAAGCTTTTCTTAAAAATTCAAATCGAGGACTTCTGTAAAAGAAAATAATAGGAAATGAGCATCTCTATATGCATTGTTCAAAGTTACTGTGTTTGGGAGGGGGGAGCTTTTTTTGATGCTTTTTCCTCTTGAGTATGGGAGCTTTCATAGTCAGGCAGATACTCTGGGAACATCTTTATTTCTGATTTGCTTGTGTTGATGTTTGTCTTAGGACGTGAGGGTTTTGTGTAGGCATAATGCCCTTTGTGGACCAGTTAGTGTGTCTGTAAGGTAAAGACAAGCTGAAGGCACACAAACTGCTGCTCAAACCATTCAGCTGGGGAGGAACTTAGGCTGAGTATCTCTCTATGTACATCCACTATATGAAATCACATATTCTTCAGATTTTGGAATCAGTTGTGGCGATGCTGTTAAAAACTATACAAAGTCCCCCAAACTTCCCTCCTGGCCCCAAACTGCAAAAAAACCGTGAGTGAAAAATGAATCCAACAGACTTTCTGTTCAGTAT